TGGGTCAGTAGACCTAAGTGCGCTTGAACAGCGTTCGATAATCAAGTAGCCTGTTAAGCCAACTACATTTAAATGAAGATAAAAAAACATAGATATTAAAAATAACGAATTTTCTCTGCTGAAGAAAAATTAAAACAAAAGCAAAATATTATAAAACATTTAAACAAAAAAAAAAAACAAAAAACACCACTAACAATCGACGAAACACAAGTAACAGATATTACATATCCAACAGCTATTCAAAAGGAAAAGACAACAATAACCACAAAAAAATCAATTCATTACAGCAGCCAATATGCTGCTGCTGTGTAAAAGAAAGATTATCAGTTAAAATGACACAATTATATAGCTAGATAAATATGTTTGTTTTAATATACATATATATACATATTAATTTTTGATTTATATGTATGTAAGTATATCTTTACGAAGAAACAAACAAATAAATAATATATAATTGTGACTTCACCGTACAGCCATTGCAACAGGAACAAAAACAACAACAACAACACCACCACCACCAACAACAACACCAGTAGTAACTCCAACTTGCATGCTCAGACGGCCATGCAGCTCTTAAATATTTTCGGCTGTCAAATGGACACGCAGTATGTCCGCCATCGAGACAGTTAGTCAGCCGGCGGAGAGTTGCTTATCTAGCTAGCTAGCCACCTGTGGGAATATCGAGTTTTTATACTTGCGTATATTTTTAATATTAATACGCTGTCAATGTATTAACAACGTCTCAAGTAACAGCTACAACAACAACAACATGTGTTAATACCTGTCTGTGAAAAAGGCAAACATTTAACTTGTAAATTTATATTTTGTATATGATTTTTCATTTTTTTATTTTATGTTTTTTTAATATTTTTTATTTTTCATTTAATTTTTTTTTTTAATTTTTGTTGTTTAATCTGCGTATAACTAGATTTTACGTTTCGTTCGCTAAGTTTATTTAAACGTTTTGTTATTTTTAACTTAACTTTTTTTTAATATGTAAACCTTTTTTGCTTCCACGCAGATGTTGTTGTTTTACAACATATAGAAATAACAATAATTTATTTATACTTTTGCTCTCGTATATATAAAATTGACGCTTTGTAACCGCTGAAACGATTTTTCGGCCGAACTCCTCTTCCCATTTGTGGTTCTGGGAACCTACAGCTTATACTAAGCTGCCTCCGAACGGTTGACGGTTTTTTTTACGAGCAGCATTTATTTCATGTCCGAAATACAGTCGGAGAGGTGCACATCCCCTGCCGAGGGGCCACCGCAATTAGAAAATTTTACTTTAATTTTTATTTTAAATTAATTTTCCTTAACTTTTGGCTGTTGGTGGCACCGGGATCTGAACCCGTACCTTCCGAGTGTCAGTACGCAATACTAACCAGTCCGCTACCGCGATCGCCTTTTGCTCTCGTGTTTTGCTGTAAATTGTAGTAAAAAATATGTACAAACACAGCGTGCAATAAATGAGGAAAAAATTACAAAAAAACTATAAAACAAAAACAACAATTGTTATTTATACATTGTACGCGTACATTTCATGTAATTGTAAGTTAATGTAAGCAAGCGTTAAAAGTAGCCGCAGTAAGAGTCATTCACACATACATATGCACATATTACATATACGCACATCATATAAAATAAGTTCGAAAATACAAACAGAAAATTAATAATAATATAAACTTCATGGCAAGTAATCTAACAGTACTTTATTTCACACTTTTTGCTTTGTTTGTTATTATTTCCATAATTTTTTTTTTTTTTTTTTTTTTTTTTTTTTTTTTTTTCTTTTTTTTTTTTTTTTTTTTTTTTTTTTTTTTTTTTGCTTTTACTTCGCTCAGCTCAGTGGCACACGTCGGTTACACGTTGCGTATACGCAAAGTTTTCAATTACATTTTGCCGCTGGCAGCTGTAAAAAATATGTATACTTGCGTATGTGCATGTTGTTGTTATTTTTTATTTTAATACATATTTATTAAAATAATACGATCGGGCATAAGCACCTGCATTGTTGTGTTTAAATATGTAGATACATACATACTATGTGCTTATATACAAAATTATATAAATCAATGCGATATTTAAAATTTATTTATCATATAAGGGAAAGTATACATGAAAATAGTAAAAGAAATATCATTTTCAGTTTTCTTATTAATTAATTTTACAAAAATTTTGCACTTAGCACTTTGTAAATAGACTAGAGTTTGCCAGTGTCTTCGTCCGCTTTTTAGATGTTTCTAAAAGATTCTTTTTCGGTTTTTACGTTATTTGTTTCGTTACGTTATTTTTTTTAATATATTATGTTAAAACATATGAAAAAGAAATAAAAGACTTTCACATATTAGCCTTAGGTCAGCCAGTTTAAGCCAATCAACCAACCTAGCCTAGGGAAAGAGATTTCTATGTTTGAAATTTCAACCAAATCAAACCACAAAAATGGTTCTTTCGAATTAATCAATTACGGAAAAAATGTTATCGATTCATTGACATACGCAAAGAGCCATTTATGGTTTTTATACCCGTATGAAGTAAAACCGGACCATCGAAACGATATCAAGTCCACTTCCCGAAAGGAATGTTGCTCCCGACATAAATTTGGACTCAAAGCTACTTTGTACGAAAATTTATCAAAAACGAAGGATTTGAAAATTATCACGATTTTGCCGAATAAATCGGTTTGAGGACCACATACCAGAGAATCCTTTCAACTCTCTAAGTTTGTTCATGATTAATCTCTACAATCAAGGGTTTAGGCTATGCGTTGACCCGTCAATTATTCATAACATGCTCTTTTGTATATATAAACTCGTTATATTTGATACTTTTTCTTCGATCAAGGCGAAAAGCCGCCAAAGCAGCTGATAAAATTAATTCAGTTTATGGGCCCGATACTGTAAAGGAAAGTGTAGCACAAAAATGGTTTACTAGGTTATCTTGCGGTAATTTCGATGTCAAGGTTTTGCTGTGTATTTCGTAGGATTCGCAAGGAATCATCTACTACGAACTGCTCTCCAATGATCAAATGCTCAAGTTGGCCCTCTATTGTCAGCAAATAGACCGCTTGAAGGCAGCACTCATCAAGAAGAGGACATCTTTGATCAACAGAGGCCGAATTGCGTTCCATCAGGACAACGATAGGCCACACACGTCTTTGATGGCGCGCCAGAAGCTCCAGGAGCTCGGAGGGGAGGTCCTAATGCACCCACCTTATAGTCCGGACCTGGCATCAAGTGATTACCATCTTTTCCTGTCCATGGCGAACGCGCTTAATGGTGAGAAGTTGGCCTCAACAGAGGTCTGCATAAATTGGCTCTCCGAGTTTTTTGCCAGTGGGGACGCAGCCTTCTACCAGAGGGGCATAATGAAGTTGGCCTCTCGTTGGCAACAAAGTTTAGGAACAAAACGGCGCATATTGGACTTAAATCAGACAAATCTACACAAAGTTAAAGTTATCATATTTTGAAAAATCAGTAAAAAAAAACCGAACGAACATTTTACTTGGCCTAAAATATAGACGAGCGCTTGAAATACGACGAAATATACAATTTTTTTTTTTTGAAAGATTAATTGCATCCCGTAGGACCTACTATGTTTTCGTTAAAATTTAGTTCTAGCCAATATTCCAAAAAATCGTGGTATTTGAAAAACAACAATAACAAAAATATTCAATTCATACAAACAAACCAGGCCTTTAGTTTACTTAATACTTATATAAAAAATTATTATATAGCATAGCCGCAAAAACAATTATGAGCACTTGGTTTACTTATAGAAAAGCTGCAAGTTTTCTTTATTAAATGATAATAAATAAACACAATTATTAAAGATAATTCTAAAAGGTAAAAATAATAATGAAACACTTTTCTACACTTAACCGAATCCAAACTGTAATAAAACTACAAAATACCAAAGTAAGAAAAACATAATAAAATTTTTACGAATTTGCAATAAAAAACAGAATTATCTGGAATAATTCAAATAAAGTTCAAATATCAAATTAAATTTCCATTTCAAGAAACACAAAAAATACGTACTAAATAAGTTTTTATTAATTACCTATAAACATAGATATATAAATTATATATATATATATAAGTATGTATATATACATGTTTCAAAATGTCATTTGAAACTTTGAGAACTAAATTCATTATTTGCAATTTTGATTAATCACAAAAATTTCTTTCATAATTTCCAGATTGCAACATTGACAGAGAAAATTCAGCAAAAACAAAAGCAACGAATAGCAACAACAAGCAAGCAAACAAAATTTATGTCAACCTAAAAATAAATGACACGAAGCAAAAACATTTAAGTTGTGTGAAAAATTTTGCATTGACATACATACATATATGTATGTACATATGCATATACACACTACATATTATTCAAAAAATGAAATGTGAGATGAACGCAAAGTATTGACTTCAAAACGTGTTGTCAAATTGCATGCAACTTGTTGTAAGCGACACCAAAGCGCTTTGGATTACATGAACAAAGCACAAAAGTTGCTTAAAATAAATGACAACAACAACAACAACAACAACAACAACAACAACAATAGCAGCACAGTAACAGTAAGGCCAGCCACAAAGGTGCCGAAAAATTCTAGAACAATCAACAGCAACAACAACAGCAACACTTATAGTCGCTGTTAGGCGTCCGCAATTGTTGCAATTTGCCTCATAACAACAACAGCAACAGTAAAAATAATAATTAATAATACCCAAATTAACCAATAAGCCAACCGCCAATGGGCCATAGCCGTTATTTGAGCTGCTGACCATAACAACAAGTACAATGATATTTATTTGTGCAATGCAACAATAGCAACACCACCACCAACAACAACAACAACAACTAGAATAACTCCGGCATTCTTAGTGCTGCATTTCACTCCAACCCATCAAAAATCTAAACGCCTCTCTTTCATTCACTCACTCACTCACTCACTCTCTCTCTGTCTCCATACACCAAATTTTGCTTGAACAGTCTAAATGTTGTTGCCGTCACCAACTGATTTAACAACACATTTGCCAACAGTTGAGCGTTTAGTGCCAGAAACGTCAACGACGGCGACTACGACGACGGTAGTGAAGACAGTAACGGCACTCTTGGACAATAGCAAAAGCAATAGGTTGTGCAAATATCACATTGAAGGAAAGGCAGAAGAAGAAGAAACAGCAGCAGCGCTGTTCAAAGAAGAAGCTCAAGACAAATTGTTGTTTCTACGACAAGTGCAACGACAACAACAACGACAGCAACTGCGGTTCCAATCAACACATAAATCACATCAACGATACTTAATCTTCGCTATTACCCGCTTTACCAACGGCCGGAGTACAATTTTTCAAGATATCAAAGCAACCTAAGCGACAACTTTGGGCAGCAAAGGAAAGTTAAAAGGTAATGAGAAATTGTTTAAAATCTATTGTAGTTAAATAAAATATTTTTTTTTGCATTAATTGTTTCTTTAATATGGAAAACTCTAATTTCGTCCTTAATTTTCATTTGTCATTTCGCTGATTGGAAAAATTTATATATTTTATTTTTTCTGGTCGGTTCTAAATCAGTTCAAAGTGCATGAACGGCGAAAATATGACCTTATTTTAACATTTAGGGAGAGTTCAAAATGTTAACTGGTAATATTACATTACGCTCACTCAAATATTTCGGTAGAATCGCTTTGCGACGTTGCCAATTTTCGTAGGAAGCTCTTGTATGTGTGTGTTTTGATATGTACTTTATTATTAAAGTTACTAAAGGCAGCTATCCTCATTACAATAGGGTGGAAACTCTCCCATATTTCCATTATCTGGATCTGCACTAAAACCCGGTTCATCTAAGGCGGTTTTGCATTACATGGCAAACCCTAATATTGTCTCTCGTACAATTTTCAGCTAGACTATGCCAAGTCCATCTTCTACGACAGAAATGAATTTGGAATTACAAAACTCTGAATTAGAGAGCTATAGCCATTGTTACGATTTGTTCAAAACTCGATGAAAGAGTGTGTTGTGGTTATCTCTTACCAATGTTCATATGAGCTTATTACTATCACGTATGCCGTCGAATAGGTGCTCATATATTCCTATTCAGTCATTAATATATACTCGGACAGCCAAGCTGTCATTAAATCTCTTTAATACGAATACACCCCATCAAAAGTGGCGTTAAAAGGCAGAAGTACTTAAAGCAAGCTAACGGTTAAATGCCATAGGTTGGGTACCCAAATATAGGCACATCTTGGTCGAGAGAGAGAGAGAGAGAAAGAGAAAGAGAAAGAGAGAAAACTACTCTCATAAAACTCATGCAGACACTTATCTTCACCAAAAAAGTCAATACCAGATCAGCGGTATCACAATGGGTCTTCAAGCTTAAATGTATTCATCGCTGTGATTAGGGAGTAAGTATCCAAGCAGCTCTAGAGTACTTTAGTGGTACACCCTTCGTTAGCATTGAATTTGTTGCCACTAAAAGGTTGCAGGCAATCGATTGTGTCTACTTCGGTCACGTGAATCGGCTCTTACGCTTTCTCAAGGCCTTGCACAACCGTGTGAGCTGTTATTAACATTTTTATATTTTCCCATTCTTCTCTGCAAGTGAGTTTCCTTTCTGAGTTCTATTATAATTTTATATATGGAGCTATAATACTGTAAGCGTTTTATACATCGTTGGCAAATTTATTGGTCCGATGTCGAGAATGAATTTTAGTTACTGTGATGAGGTAGTTCTTATAGCGCTGGATATACTTAGTCAAAAGGTATATTGCACATATTCCAAAGGTCTATATTTAGCCTTTAGCGGAGCCCATTATATTGGAACTGCATGTGGTAGTGTCGGTGTCTCTACATTTTTGTGAGGCCAATGCAGCATTTAAAGTCGGTGCTCCATAAAAACACAATGAAGTCATTATTACATTAAAAGAAACGAAGTTACATCTTCAAATGGTTTTCTGTATATTCATGTGTAAAAACTTTATTAGTAGAAAATTTTGTTAATTTGTTCAGGACTAAATATAAATAATCTTTTCGTCTAATTTTAAATTTTTATTCCTTTTCAACCGGTTTTTGAACGAAATTCTTCAGAATACTTAGAAAGTATAAAGAATTCAATTAAAATACTATTTCATTACTTTCTATTTATTTATTTGGGTAATAAACAAATTTAAATACTTATATTATGTATTATTTATCCACCGATTAAAATAATCGAAATGTCAAAAGAAAAAATTTATAATCAGGCATTTATTGTTTCCTTTTTTTATTTAAAATATCACACTTAAAGGTGCATTTGTATTCAGCTTTAAACTACTACATACAAGTATGTATATATTTTATATTATTAATATTAATTGTGCATATATATGTATTTGTTGCTAAAGCCGCCTCATGCAACACTTTTTACCACATTTACGACTCTTATTTAATTATTTTGACAAGCGATTGCCTCTTTCGATGATATAAACATACATATACCAGAATGTGAATGTGTGTATGTGCATTTGTGTGGCATTTAAAAGAATTGATTGCATTACAGTGATGAATAAACAAACAATCATTGGCTGAATTGAGTTCAGTTCACAACTCAATTTCGACACGCTGCAGCCAAGCGAAAACTCAACTAGATGGATTCTTGATTTTTTTCTTTTTCTGTAACTTTTTTTCCCAAAAAAAGGTAGTGCAGCACATGAAATGCATGTAATATTATTGCCAAAGACATTAATAATGTGAAAGTGCATAAAAAATGTTAAACAAAATAAATACTCACAAACATCTGCATGTATGTACGTTTGGCTAAATACACATTTACATATATATGCAGCTGCAAGCATATAATTTACTGATTCTACTTTTATTTGGTGTGTGTATGCATTTGTTGTTGTTACGTGCGCTCACAAACACACACACAAATATATATATATATATATATATATATATTATATATATAGATATACATATCGTTATGTACATATGTGCATAATGATTTGCTGCAATCAAAGCATTTGCAAGTGCCACTTTTAATATGCCATTAATATAGAGATAAAGGAAATATTGCGTACATTTACACACATGCACACATATACACATACACTATATGTACATATATACATCCTATCAATTTTACACACGAACATGTACATATGTACATGTAAGTACATAGCTGCATGGGGATATGCATGTAAACAACGCATCGATTTGGCAGGTAATTCATCATTTTTTCAGTTTCAATCAAAATTTAAAAATAAAAATATGTTTCTTCCACGCATTTGCAGTTGTTGTTATTTTTCGAGCTACTCACTATAATAGACATAATTTTTTTTATTGTAAACAATAACTGGCAGCATGTCTATGTCTTTTATTACTTTCACAATTATCTATTATTACTTTTTTCACCATAAGCATTGAAGCGCCGGGTGGCACCTACGCAAGCATCCTTCATTTTAGTATTTCATTCAACTAATTTTTATTTTGTTATTTGTTTATTTTACTTCATTTAATTTTTTGCTTTTTTTTATTTTGTTTTATTTTATATTATTTTGTTTGGTATTATATTCTTTTATTATTTTTTTTTATTTATTTTATTTTAATTTATTTTATTTTTTTTTTAATTTTATTTAATTTTATTTTATTTTATTTTATTTTATTTTATTTTATTTTATTTTATTTTATTTTATTTTATTTTATTTTATTTTATACTATTTTATTTTATTATATTTTTTTTTATTTCACTTTATTTTATTTTATTTAAAATAATCTAATTTTATATTCTTTATTTCTTTTATTTATTTTTTCTACTATATTTTCAATACAGTTGTGGGGTTTTTCTTTAAATATTACTCGCTTTCAATTGTTCATTTATTTTTAGCGCCACTGACGTCACAATAAAAGAAATCAGAAGCTTCAAAATGTCTAATTATTACCAGCTGTTCCAATAGCGTTGTCTCACCTGTTGTTGTTTGCGGAAAAACAATAATTTGCTATTTGAAAATAAAATTAGCATGAAAAATGTTGCAGTTTTTTCAACCTTCGATGCTATTTATAGCTAATTTCGCACTAAACATTTATTTTTGGTTTGAGTATTTTTGATTTATAGGTTACGTTTGGGGCATAAAGGAAATTAAAATAAGTGAGGAACAGAAATACAATAAATTTAAGTTTACAACCTTTTTTTTTACTTTATTTTGTTTAGTTTTTCTGTAGTAAAAAGTTGTTGAAATTCTTCACATAGCTCATTTAAGCTCAAGAGGGGAAGAACGCGATTACTCTTCGTCTATTGGACATAATCTTGTGTGGAAAATTATTACTTTCAATAGCATATTAGCAATACTTTTATGTGTATTGAGGTTTGAATATAAATTTTGAACAAATTTCACAAAGATAAGCGGGAAAACGTAGTTAACTATATCCTTTAATCATCTATCAACCGGCATACGAACTAAAATAGCTACATTTAGTATGGAATACTTTGAAAGAAAGAAAGAAAGAAATTAATGTGAAATATACTTATATGCTACTTAAATTTTTAGTTCAAGATTTATTTTATATTAAAATTTCCGCAAATATTATTTTCACAAAAATTACAACAGCTGCTACCTTTCGCTTTTCTACGAACGATTATTTTTCTAATAGCTTGCGTAAATAATTCATTTTGATACATATGTAGAACACACAATGTGTACTGGAATACCTCTATGTATGTATTTATCTACGTCAGAGTAGTGTTTTGTATCCCCCTCCCGATGACCGTCAACTTTTCAACGGCTGCCGTACATAAATTGTAATTTTTCACAAATATATAAAAGAGGTTTAGAAATACTTTTCCAAACGCTGATGATTTAAATAATTTGCAAATACGTAGATACATAATGCATATTAGGGGAGATCTCAAATGAAGCAAGTATATTAATCAAATAACCTTAATAAAAACATAACTAGATAATAAAAAAGAAAAAAATAAAACTAAATTTAATTAAATTATATAAAATAAAATTATTCAAAATAAAATAAAATAACACAACAAAAAGAGAAATTAAACAAAATTTAAACAAATAAAATAAAATTAAAAATTATAAAAAATAGAATTAAATGAAAAAAAATAAAATAAAATAAACTAGAATAATATAAAACAATATGAAACGAAATAATATAATATAAAACAAAATAAACTAGAATGAAAAAAATTATTAAAAAAAACCAAAATAAAATTAAATATAATAAAATAAAATAGAATAAAAAAAAAAATAAAATAAGAAATGAAATAAAGTGAAACTAAAACAAAATAAAATAAAATTATAAATGAAATAAAATTAAATAAATAGTTGTAGTACAAAATTTAATAAGAAGAAGTAAAATAAAATAAAAGAAATAATTTAAAATACAATAAAGTAGAATGAAAAAAAAAAA